TGGTTATCATTTCTTTCCTCCGCTCTCTCAGTCGCTCCCCTCCTCCTCCTCTTCCTCTCTGTGGTCATGTGGCTGATGAAGTCACGGTGATGCTGATGATGTCATGTCTGTTTCTGCCCACTGACCTCATCCTGACACGCCTCACAGACAGGAAGTGCCTCTCTAACACAAAGTCTGGTGTTTCAGGGAAAGAGAGTTTATTATTATCTTTATCTTATTATTATCTTAGTATTTAAGAGCAGCCTGTTGCACCAGCTGTGTGTGTGAGTTCCAACTCAGTCTAGTTATAACGTAAATGACACACTAAGTTTGGATTTATGCATTAAAATAAAAGCGAGATATGAGATCACCACAGAGATAAGTTAAACTCTGAGTGTAATGTAAATCATACAATGCCACAGAATTATACTCACTGATGGTAAAACAGCAGAGCCATTTTGCGACGTGCTGGCCAGAAAGCTAATGTACACACTAACCATGATGATCAATGATGCTGATTGGTCTCTTGCCTTCGCTATGACTTTATGTATTAGCTAGAGAAGTTATGCCCCAAGTAGTCGTAGTTAAACCAATTTTAGTTGCTGATTTAGTTACAAACTAACTAGTAGTTACTGAGCCTCTAGTGTCGACTTTACACACAGCTGGAGTGGTGGCACTGGAACATGATTCAGTGGAGAGAAGGAAAAACATTCCCGCTGCACAAATTTCTGTTTATATCTGTCAGATTTTTCTTTAATCTAATAGTTTTATTTGCTCACAGCTGATAAGCTGTGCTGGTTTTAAGGGGTTACAAAAAGGTTTAGAGGAAACACTGACATAAATAACATCCTGATTTACAATATAAATGTTAAAAGGCTGAATTCCCTTTATCTTATATAACTGAACATGATTAAATTTCCCCCCTGAAGTTAAAGTGAAGACAGAATTCCAGTCTGTTCTGTGGATGTTTTATCGGCCAGCTCCAGATTCTCTGTGAGAGTTTGACTGAATAAGAGTGAATCTACTGCGATTCTGATTGATATTGATGATGTTTTAAGCCAGAGCAGTTTGCAGACATTGAACATCAATGAGTAGCTCGGCCCAGAGTTTATGAACATTAATGACGGTGTCTGAGCAGCGAGGAGTCTCATTATGGCTCAGGGTCTCTCTGCTTCCAGTGTTTGAGAAACTAGAGGAGTCAGCTCACAGTGAGTGCTTTCAGACTTATTATAGACTTATTAAAACTCAGAAATTCTCTCACAAGTTGAGACGTCCCGAGCCAATCCTAAGGGTCTTTAATGGATCGGTACCGGTTAATACAGCTGATCAAATGATTATTTCCAACATGCATTGCCTTCTAGAAAACAAACCAAATATTCTTAAATGTAATCACATTATCTTTAATTAAGCAAAAACCCCCCAAAAAACCCCAAATGCCACTTTTGCTTAAAACTTGCATATAACTCCGGCCACTGAAAGAGTGTAATAAGTCTTAAAACTCGAAAGAAATGCTGAAAATTAAGATATGTTGTGTTTAATACAGGCAATGAAAACTCTTGGAATTTAAGTATTTTGGTCACGTTATTGAGCGGAATTTAAGTTACGTAATGTTATGTTAATCTAAGATTAATAATTAGCAGAAATCTTACAATTAGATACAATTTCTTCAAACATCAGAATAAAAGTAAGTTACTTTGTCTCAAATGAAGGCAGCAGAAACATTTGTATTTTAATAATTTTTTCATTAAAACAATGAAAAACTAAACAGCTGCTTCATTTCTAACACTGGGACCAGACAACTTTCTCTTAAACTGAGACGTTGTGTGTGTGAGTGCTCTTACTCTGAAAATAAGGACAATATTATGCAACCATTGTTGTTACTCTTTAAATTGACCTCAATATTAGCTGTAAAATTTTACTTACTTAACAAGATTATTTTTCTTGTTTAAACAAAAAATGTAAACTAAGACAAAAAAAAACTTTTAAAGAAAAAACAAAACAAGAATTCAATTCAATTCAATTTTCCTTCCTCCCACTTGTGCTATAGCACCAATTAATAACAGAAGTTAGTCTCAGGACTAATTTCATGAAAATGATCAAGGTCTAGAACGACACTCCTCTTAATAATAATTTACAAAAACCCACAGTACCAACCATGAGCAAGCACTATGCGCGAGGGGGAGCAAGGAAAAACCTGCCTGATCTAGATATAGCAGAACACCTAGGACAGACCTTCGAAAAACTGTGGATTTAACAGAAACATTGGCACATTAATCTGAAAATAGTCTGCATATTAAACAGAATCATCCGCATATTAAACCAGAACACGTTGCACAATTAATTCGAATATTGCATATTACCCAGAATAGTTGCAACATTAACAGAATCAGTTTGCAATTACATCAGAATACCTTGGGCATATTACCAAGACATAAATATGCACATTAGATACAAAGATCTACCTTGGCACATTCTAACCAGAGAACATTTCAGTTTAATGATAAATTGACTCACATTGTGTGGGAGCACTCTGACATGAAGAGATTGAGGGGTTTCGACTGATCAATTGTAGAAAATAATTGTCAAATTGATAATGAAAATACTCGTACGCTGGATGTGAGTGGCCGCCTTGATCTGTACTGTTTTGATCGTGGACACCACGTTCACTCATTCAAACCGGTGAACAGGAAGTTGCTCCTCGCCTTCGTCCTCAGTTGAACAGGGCTGAACTGGGTTACCGTCATTAATCTTGTCAGGCAGGTTGAGTCTATCACTGACCGGATTTTGTTCTGCTGCTCTACTGACATCATTTCTGCCTCACTGCTGCCTCTGCTGCTAATGCTGATCAATACAGAGCCTGAGTCACCCCCGCACTGCAACACACTGCTGCTGCTGGTTACTGGGTCACTCTGTGTGTGTGTGTGTGTGTGTTGTAACAGAGACAGGAGAGATTTCACACACCTGATACAGAAGGGTACAATCATATTTTGCTGGTAAAATACATTGCATAATTTGAATCGTTTCTCATCATTAAAGGACAGGGGCCTAAGTATGTTTCTGGTTAAGTTCTTACTGTATTTACAGTTTTTAATTATTTTTTTTGTCAATGTAAAATGAGGGTAGACTGCAAATGCACTTAGACCATATACTATATTTTTAATTTGATTTATATTGTGGCATTACAGCGTGAGATATACTGAGAAATATCTCCAACTTTTAACATAATAACACAATAAAAAAGTACTCTGCTTCCAGAATACCCAGGATTCCCACACCATCCTGGGAAAACCGGAAAATCGTGGAGATTTTAAGATTTCCAGTCAGGGAAACACCTTCGGGAGCATTTTAACCCTTTCCAGGGTGGAACTAATCAATGCAATTAATGATTTTAGTTAAATTAATGAAATTGGAGTATTAAAGGACTTTTTCAGTACTTATTTAGCTAGTCTCTATTTACTTTTATTCATTAGTTTGTTTCTGTTGAATAATTCAATGACATTAATAGATAAACTGACACTACAGCACTGCTGTTCATGTCCCAAATATATATTTATAGACAGTTTTCTTTTTTTTAGTATTTTCCCTTGAACGTTTTTATGTTGTTTGGAATGAATGCAGACTGGGTTGGATACATATTTTATTCAGAGAAAAGAGAACATGAATAAAACATTTTATTTGTCTGTTCGCTGCGTCTCCTCGTGGTGCTTAAAAGGATTTAAAGCTACAGCTGAGATGAAAGGGAGGAGGCACACACATGGGCTCGTATGTGGTGTGTGTGATGTGTGTGTGTGTGTGTGTGTGTGTGTGTGTGTGCTGTTGCAGTGCCATGCTGGTGGACACCCCCCCCACCGCCCCCCCTGTCTGCATGTCTGAGACAGAGGAGAGGACGACAGGAGAGGAGAGGCGCGAGCACCGGAGAGAGACTGGAGGAGGACAACAGCAGAGGGCCGAGGTGAGGAGAAAGTGTGACAAAAAAGCACGAGAGGAGGCTTTGTCTCTTTCATGATAGGAGGAAGAGCAGAGGAGATAAACAGTAACTGAGAGAGAGAGAGTTTGTTGTCATCCGACCACATGTTTGATTTTCTGTCTCACATATTGATCAGTCTGTATGACTCCATCTGGTTTTAAAATATGAGATTATTAGGTATTTAACTGTCGGGGCAGATGGAGAGGTGCAGTGTGAATGTGTGTGGTGTTTTTCTCTCTAGTTTTCCTGATTATTCTGTTATATTCTGTTGCTTTCCTGTTTTCTGAAAACCGCTTTGAGTTTCAGAACTAAGAGCACTTATTGTGACTTCCCTCTAAAAGTCTACAGTCATGCATGGATCGTGAGGATCCTTTAAACATTGTCCAAAGAGGTAATTGTTAAGGCCATAAAACAGCAGACACCTCAACTTCTACCTGCTTGTTTTTCTGATCTGCTCTCATTTTAAATCACCTGTTGCAGCTGTTTGCTGTTAACTCAGAACTTGGCACTTGTTTATGTGTTGTAAACACACTTTATGTGTTGTAAACATGGTGATTTCACAGAAATACTACACAAACTCATACTGCTACTCAGTGGCTCAAGGAAGATAAATCCTGTCTTCTCCTGGTAGGATTTTGATAATTCTCTTAGCAACATCTGCCTCGGAGTTTGTGTAAAATCAAGTCTATTAAAACCTCATAAAAAACATGGTTGCTAACAAATTTTCTTTTGAAAGAACAGAAAGGCCTGTAGCTACTTCCTATTACCTTGCTCTGGTCTAAAGTGTGTGTGTGTGTGTGTGTTGTGTGTGGTGTTGTGTGTGTGTGTGTGTGTGTACACCTTCATGCCTTACATTTACATATAGTCACGCAAGCCCTGTGATGAAGATGATAACGGTGATGATGATGATACAGTCAATAAAGCTTAAGTAAATGTACAAATCACTTTATTCTTTACTGAATTTGGCATTGTATTATCAGCTGGTTGTATTATTTTGTCCACCCCCAGTAAGCATAATAATAATAACAATAAGCATCTCTAAAGAACAGCGGTGTTACATTCATGCAAAACAGTACAGAATCATTTATTTCAGCAAAAATATCTAAAGTCTGAATGTCAGATCTCCACCTTTGTCCACATATGTTCACAAAAATGACCAACAGAACAGAATGAATGAAGAGTCATTTGGAAAGAAATCTGTTTTAGAAAATTATTTTACCTCTTTAGCTGAAAAAACACTGAATATGAAAAGATATTAATCAATATAAACACATTTCATTTTTGCCTTCAATGTATTTTTGCTCTTGTTGTTCTGTTTTTTCAGCACTTAAAGTCCAGTTCTTGTTGGACGGTTGTCCCTTCATTATAAATCAGAGTGTGTCTTCAGAACACTGGGAAGCTCTAAATTCACTTTCAGGGCTTTCACAGAGGAAGTTCAGTCTGAATCCATGACTAATGAGCGTAAAACATTACCATTGTGAATGCCCCGAACCCAGGTGCAGACCAAGACACTATACCCGGGCCCACCTGGAAAAGGTGGTCTGAGATGTTTGTGTTGTGCTGTCAGAACAGTCTGTTTCCCACAGAAAAATTCATTTGCAAATTCCTGTGATGTTTAGTTTATCAGCTACAGCATTGCAGCAGCTATTCGTCCTGGGTTATCACTACAGTGATACTGGCCAATGCTACATCCATAAAAACATCTTATCTCCATGGTGAGTAGCCAGTATTGGAGGAGTAATATGACGTTGGCAGAGTGGGCAAAGTGGGAAGTTGGGGAAGTGGGGGTATATCATATGGGTAACCAAAATAATAAGAGCTGGCAGTGGGGGGAAAGGCAAATCCTTGATAACGTGGATCATAGCTGCGTGGAACAGGATTTTTCTTGCTGATTACTCTTGTATTACAACTTGGTGGCTCACGATTTAATGGCTTCCTGGACACAGCTCCACCCTGGGATGTACCAAAGAGTCCAGTCTCCTTATAACGGTTCTTGTTCATTAGTTCTACATTTAGTCTTTTCAGCTCTTCCACCAAAGTGGCCTTTGAAGTCTTTGGTGCTGGTAGTGGTGGTGGTGGTGGTGGTGGTGGTTTGTAGTATGGTTGTAGTGGTTTGTGGTAGGGTGGGGGTTTTGGGGGCTGGGTCGGGGAAACCTTCTTCTTTATACTGTCCAAGATTTTAAAGGACAGGTTGTTCAGATGTTTGTCCACGTCTATGAGAGCTTCTGGCGTCTTCTGTGGGACATCCAACTGGAAATTTTGGACTAATTCAGCTGTGGTGTTGTAGCTCTGCAGGAATGAGATATCTTCAGCTTGCAGCACGTCGTCTGCGACTCTGATTGTGTCAGAAAGATCTGTTATCCCTCTACTCAAAGCTTCGCTCTCTGTTTTCATCATCTCGCTCTTCTGATTCTTTTCCTCCCTCACTGCACTGATCCTTGCCTCCTCTTCCTCTTTGAGAAACTTCTGAAGCATCAAGAACACATCCTTAATTTGCCTCTCAGTGTCTTGAGCCTGAACTTCGATCTTTTGAGCTGTTTGATCCAGGTTTCCTTTAGTCTCTTTGAAGTGCTCCAGTTTCTCTCTTAAGACCGGCAGGAATTCCTGAAGTCCCTCTTTGCAATCCCGAGCTGCTTCCTCGATGGGTCTGATGGTGTGGGTGTTGTGTGTTTCTGAGTGCAGACAGATGACACACAGTAGCTGTTGATGGTCCAGACAGAAGAGTCTGNNGCAGACTGCAGAGAGCCTCAGACCGTATTGAAAGTCTCTCAGTTCCCTCCAGTAAAAGGGCTTCACACAGGTTCTTTAGTGCCAAGTTTTGAGGTGGATCCTTATCTAAAGATCTTCTCTTACAAAGTGGACACTCAAGAATCGTTTTCTCTGTCCACCATTTCTGAAGACAGGCTTTGCAGAAACTGTGGGTGCATGACACAAGGACAGGATCTTGAAAAATCTTAAGGCAGATAGGACAGTAGAGATTCTCCTCTGGCCGAGAAGCCATTATCTCACAGTGGCTTAACAAGCTCAACAGAAACAGTTACTAACACAGACTGGGTTCTTGATGGCGATGAGAAAAAAATCCTAAAGAAGAATCTCAGTGTTTAGAAGAAAAATACCTTGACAAACTTCGTGACAGAAAACCCAATTTCTGCTCCTTCAGAAACTTCTCAAAATGTTTAATCCTGGAATCAGCAGCTCGTTGAAGTTTCCTGGATTTCTGCTGTTTGCTTTGGTTGCCGCCCTTGCAGTTATGAGGCTTTTGTTAGTCGGTGCATGTTATCAGGACAAATGGAACTGGGTTTTCTGGTTTGTGGTTCAGGTAATGGGTGGAACTATGAATTTCATTCCAAGCGTTTTTCTCTCATTACACTCTAAGAGCTTCACATTCATATACCACATTTAGATAAGCTTTACTTCCTCATATGTCCCACTTTAACATGATGCTTGGCTGCATTTTGCCCATTTTAATCAGAATTTTATAAATTTTGTATTTATAATGTTCTAATGATTTGTTGCAATTGCACTGGTGGTCAGTGTGTTATCTTTTTTGGATTCATTTGCAGCACATGATATATATGAAGTGGGCCAAGCTAGCAGGCAGGCCAGGCTAGTTACGGTAATGACAGCAAGTTCCTGCATGATGTAGATGACGCAACCACCTAAGCTATGCATGAAATGTTGACAGTCAACATTGCTTTTGACCAGTCCCATCAAAACAGTTTGCATTACTTGTGTACAGAAATGCTTTCTATGTAAGTCTTAAATACATTGAGGAGTTGCAGTATCACAGTTTCATAGCATTTCCACTTCTCCCTTCTGTTTTCTTTATGGGTTCCCAGGACATCATACCAAGAACAATACCTATAACAATGACTTCGAAAGTATTGTTTTAAAAACCTTTGCAACTTGGCGGAGGCCACAATGACAGTGGTGAACAATATCATTAGAATCACTTTTGATTTGTGATTTCATGAGTGATGGTTATCTTCTTTACCAAAGTATTAATACAATTTGTAAAATTCAAAAAAAACATTCTCATGTTAGATTCTGCTAACTCCTCTTGTGTTTGAAGAACATTGTGAACCCAGATCCTTCAGATTTTTCTGTGCAACATAGAGCAGCTTGGGTCCACTGTTTACACAACGTTATTGTTCATCAGTGTGGATGCTCATATCTTTATCATTCTAGTTATTCTTGGTGTGGAAGGTCTTTTACAGTTTGCACTTGTATGTTTGGGCATTTTTTCAAAGGGAAGAAAGAGAGTATTTCATTATTTGTTTCATGCATTACTAGTAAGAGACCATGAACTGTTATAGAGCTGGATTGTGTTTCATGGTAAGAGATGGCAACTAACATACAGTACATTTAAATACTCTGTATCTTCTTTCATATGTTCCACCCATGCTAATAATTATTGAGCTGACATCTAAACATGCCATATATTGCAGAATCACAAAATTGACCATATTTTAGTTTTTAGTTCATGTTGTTACTTTATTTCTTGTTCTGATGGTCAGTTATGACATTTTTTTTATAGACACCATAACAAGTTTAAAATCCATTTACATGCAGTTAATGTTTCTGATAAGTCTCTGTGAAAACTGTGTTCTATAAATGCAGTCAGCACTGTTGAGTAATATAAATTAACCTTTGTACAAGCATCTAATCTAATCTATACACACGCAGACGCAAGCTAATGATATTGGGTGAAGTTCAACAGAGTGCTCCAACAATGTAGCAATTCAGTCCTATAGCATTGCCAAACTCTCGGTGGACAGTTTAAAAAAAAAAAAGGATCAATACTGATGAAACAGAACAAAATATATTGTCTTTTTTATTCCATACCCAAAACACAACTTGCTAGTAGCAACAGATGTAGCCTTGAGCCTCTACATTTCTAATCCAACCTCTACATGCATTTCTTTACTGTTGTAAATATCATATTTAGAATGTTTCCAAGACAAAGCCTGCATGAGTTCAGTATCTTACATGTGTTACTCAAGTATGATATGATGAATGTGCAGCCAATAAATCAGCTTTAAATTTAAAATCACTTCATACTTATTGATTTTGGAATTGTAACCTACTGTGGGTACAGTTAGTGCACAACAGTCCAAAAATATTTTTTTTGTCATCACCAAGAATGTTCGGTGTTCAAACTGAGTGGCCGGTATCATCTGCGGGTGTGTGGGGTTGTAGCATAGTAGTTGACTTGAGGACGAGGTCGGGTGAATAGGGTGGTGGTGGCTAGATGGGTTGGGAGTGGCTGGGGGCGCTCTTGCTGTTTTGGTTGTGTAATCTTGCCTTGGGAACCAAACGGGTCTTGTCCTCGGTAGGACTTGGAGGGAGGTATGACTCGTGCATATTTTGGCTGATGGTTGAATGGAAAGACACTCACACTCCTCCTTCGTGGGTCTTGAGTCATCGACACTGCTTCACTCTGGGAAGAACTGCTGGATATAGTTTCATACAAGGACCGTCTGGCTCTAACATTTAGACTGGACAGATTGTCCCTCAGAGAGACAACTGCAGGTGTCTCTCTGAAGGACAAATCATCATTTTCTGCTGATGGTGGTTTTGGTGATAGTTGTGGTTTGTGATCAGGTGGGGGGGGCCTGGTTGGGGTTATCTTGTCCTTCAGACTGTCCAAGATTTTGAAGGACAGGTCGTTCAGGTGTTTGGTTGTGTCTATGTGAGCTCTTGGGATTGGGTCTGGATCATTCAATGGGAAACATTGGACTGTTTCAGCTGTAGTCTTGTATTTCTGCAGAAATGAAAGATCTTCAGCTTGCAGAACTTCCACTGTGGCTCTGACTGTGTCAGAAAGAGCTGACATCTCTCTACTCGAAGCTTCGCTCTCCGTTTTCATCATCTCGCTCTTCTGATTCCTTTCCTCCGTCACTGCACCAATCCTTGCCTCCTCTTCCTCTTGGAGAAACTTCTGAAGCATCAAGAACACATCCTTTATTTGCCTCTTAGTGTCTTGAGCCTGAACTTCAATATCTTGAGCTGTTTGATCAAAATTTCCTCTAGTGTCCTTCAGTTTCTCCTGTAAGGGTTCCAGGAGTTCCCTAAGTCTTTCTTTGCAATCCCGAGCTGCTTCCTCGATGGGTCTGATGGTGTGGTTTTTGTGTGTTTCTGAGTGCAGACAGATGACACACAGTAGCTGCTGATGGTCCAGACAGAAGAGTTTGAGTTTCTCAGAGTGCAGACTGCAGAGAGCCTCAGACCGTTTCCAAAGTCTCTCCAGTCTCCAATCTTCACACAGGTTCTTTAGTGCCAAATTTTGAGGTGCATCATAAACTGAAGATGGTGTCATACAGACTGGGCACTCAAGAACTGTTTTGTCTGTCCACCATTTCTGAAGGCAGGCTCTGCAGAAACTGTGGCTGCATGCCAGGATGACAGGATCTTGAAAAATTTCATGGCAGAC